CTGACATGTATGTGCACTCACAACTAATACTTATACTTATACTTATACTTATACTTATACTTATACTTATACTTGTACTTGTACTTATACTTATACTTATACTACTACTACTACTACTACTACTGCTGCTGCTGCTACTACTACTACTACTGCTGCTGCTACTACTACTACTACTACTACTACATCTTCTACTTCTACTTCTGCTTCAACTTCTACTTCTACTTCTACTTCTACTTCTACTTCTACTACTACTACTACTACGACGACGACAACTACTACTGCTCCTGCTCCTGCTCGTGCTCCTGCGACTGCCGCTGCCACTGCTGCTGCTGCTGCTACTGCTAATTACTCCTACTACGACTACGACGACGACTACTACTACGACGACGACCACGACGACGACGACTGCTGCTACTACCCACGTCTTCGACCACTTGGTGCTACGATGCCGGCCACGACTAGTCGACTCAAGCAGCCTTTTGTACCGGGATCTGTGCTGCGATCACGGCTCCTTGGCTCTTATTTGCCTTCCGTCTCTGGCGAGGATTGTCGAGCCACATGGTGTCGCATCGCAAACAGCCAGTCTGCCATTCATTCACGAAATCTCATTCGTACGGCTGCTCCTCGACAGCAGCACGACGACAAAACACGAAAGTGCTTCTGCCTTGAGATCGGGGTATATAGTTTGGGAAATTGAGCACAGGCTGACCTAACGTCAGACACCAGCATCAGCAACAAAAGTCAAGAACCATAGGTGTTTCAAGGAACGGACGTTCGACCGCCAGCCTGAAATGGACTGTGCGCCTTTGCATCAACTGTGCAGAATATCCGGCATTTTCGCTGGAAAGCACATTGCTTCACGGTAGCTGCTCACATTGCCTTGGCGTGCTGCCTCTACAGTACAGGCCTTGGGGATGTATCGCCCTAGATGACTTTCCCAATGCTTCCAACGCGTTCGACCGCCATGGAAAGCGCTTCCACACAAACAAAATGCGAGTGCTCATCTCTCTCTGTTCGTCGACTTCTTACTTTGACTGCATGAACCTGCATGAACCAGAACTGGGAACCACAACAGATCGCATGCCTGCTTCAGCCCGTTGCAGCTTGAGCGGGCATGCTTCCAAAAGCGAGAGAGTGGCACCAGCTGTCCTAGAAGCGCGCTTGTTATGGAAATGGCCGTGACCAACACGTTGGGAAGGTACCAACCGGCAGGAAGATGCGTATGGACACGCCTTACGAGACAGCCTTTACTCGACACATGAACATTTGCATCTTCGCTTCTTGCCACCCCGTCCTGACTCAGACATGTTGCTTAGCCTAGGAGTGGCCAGGACACCCAGAATCGATCCCTGGAAAAGATGGCCTTCTTGCGACAAGACTGTTCTAGCCAGGCGTTACGATGATACGGCGAGTTCGGACACCATCAGTAAGCGAGATACATGAAACTACTGACTCGTCTCAATCGGCTGGGATCGTCCACGTACGCATATTCTTGACCAACGGGAGATTGAAACATGTTTTTCTCCCGTGGCCATGGAGGAAAGAGAGAAGTTCGAGAAAATCAGCAGTACTGATCGAACCAACGAGCGAGTCCATGAAGCCTCCTTCAGGTGGTTTCATGGTCCCGCCCGATGGAAAACCATTGCTGCTCTGAATGCCTGTGTCCCAGCAGGGCGTTTCGTGGAAAGACGAGGTGTCAACAGAAGGAAGCTATTGAAACAAACCTCGGGGATCACGCACTTGCTTCGCAGCATGTCATGGCACTGTGAGTGTGCACATCTACCAATTGGCGAGCCATCAGAATGAAGGGTTCTGAACGTCTCAGCTGCCAAAGCTCAACACATCTCAAGACGGTGTTAGAGCACTACCATTCCAGTGTCGACAAGCTCCGCAGGCTGCGAATAAACAGAGAAACCTGTCCAGTGAACAAGGAAGTAGACAAGCATGGGCAATCACATAGGGATCGCCCCTGTCTGATACCGTTTCGTGGAAAGACGAGGTGTCAACAGAAGGCTGCTATTGAAACCTCGGGGATCACGCACTTGCTT